GTTTGAGAGAGGCGGGGCATAGAGGACCTACAATAATGTACAGTATTTGAAAAATATTGTGTTTTTTGAACATTAAAGCATGTCAACATATTCTGTTACACCAAATACACAAAATAATGATCTTTAAAATAGCATCATATGACCCCTTTAAAAAATTAGTTCATATTATATATATATATAGAAAGCTGGTAAAATTTTTAGTTGATAATATAATATTATAATATTATTATAACTACTTTAAAAATACCACAAATAAACAAAGCTAGTAAAAAGTTTGTCGACAATATAATATTAAAGCTAAAATAAACCATACATTTAAAAATAAATAAAATAAATATCTGTAGCAAGTCAATTTTTTGGTTCAATACAAAAAAGGGATATTAACTAAATGAAAATAAATAAATTGCACAGTGTATGTTGCTTTATCAAGATTTACAGAGCATGTTTTAATTAAACAAAATCCATCCACATAAGTGCAGATTCCTGATCTGGTTCTGAATTTCCCATTCAACAAATATATGTCTGTACATCTATTTCTCCATCCTGGAGGAGTTACAGAACACAAAAAAGGGAGGAAACGAGGATGCACTAATAAGGAATAAGGCAGTGAACAGGCCTCTGCCGCCGCTCTCATTTACATTGAGTTTCTCTGTCTGTTGAACAGCATCTCCCAAATGAATGAAATATATTTAAAGCCACTAAAAGTTCATTTTCAGGAACAAAAACTTTTAATCAGAGCTCCCAGACGTCTCTGACCAATTATTTTTCATAACTTTTCCAGTAATTTTTTTAACTCACAGAACAATATCTACACTGAAGAAAAAAACACTTTTTTTCTCCGCTGGTTGTTCAATTGGCTTAATTAAAATGAGCTAATGCAACAATTCTGAACTTAATTTTATTGCACTCAATCCACTTACATTTGCAAAACGAACGTCTGCTTAATCTGCACAACTGCATGAATCATTTTTGTCAGCATTAACTGATTTGTAGTTATAATAATAAACGCTGAACAATACCGTCTTCCGATTTATTCTTTTATTGTTTGGATGAATGCACACATCGCACACTGATACACAATATCGAACTCTCGCGCTCATAAAAGAGATCTAACCTAGTTTAGAAGTAGCAGGAAGCTCCTTTTATAAATCATGTCCTTATGTTTCCCTTGAGCTCAACATGAGGCACCTGTGTGACCTGATTACTCTGCGGTGTCTAAGTCCAACACCTCCTGAGACACACATTATAATGCATTTATATTCATGAATAAAACATGGCCATTTTAATGCGCACTCCTGAAATAGCACTTCATTCTGCCCTTGATCCTGTTCTTAAACTCTCTTTAAACGAATGTTTAATTGATGCAGGACACGTCCCTTTGTTGCTCCTGGAACAATATTTATCATAGTCTGAAATCAATGAAGATCTAATTCTACATAAACAACTACAGTCAGACAGTTTTAGGCCCAAGCTAAGTTCAGAAGGACCTGCGTCAGCTGAGAAACTGCTATTGAGATGAAAGGACTGCAAACGCTAACCCAAACACTGCTCTAATACCAGCGGTGACTGATGCATGTCCATGACACCTGCACGCACCAACTTTGGCTGTAAGCTGTCTAACATGCTTCCTTTACCTTGAAGTTTTAAAGTTGTCATGAAACTGAAGTTGCAACCAACTTTACTACTGTATTGAGACATATTTCCAAGTGAAACGGCTATGTAAACAAGAAAAGATTATGAGGTCTAAAAGATATATTACATTTCACTATAAGATAAAATAATGTGCATTAAGAAAATAAATAGGGTCAATACTGATTTTATACTGACTGTAACATCAGATGTTGAGCTAACTGCTTGTAAGTTGTGCTCAAAGTTTGTCGTGCTTTCTGTTAGTTACACAATTAAACAGAAAAACAGTCAAAATTATCAGTACACAATCAACTAGTCATGAAAAGTACTGATTATAGCATTACATCTACTCCTGTTGCATTTGTATTTGTACTACTGTTCAAACATTTTGAGTTAGTATGACTTTAAGAAATTAATACTTTTATTCAGCAAGGATGCATTAAATTGATCCAAAGTAACAAAAAATACATTTATAATGTTACTGAAGATTTCTAGTTAAAAAAAATGCTGTTCTTTTGAACTTTTTAATCATCAAAGAAACATGAAAAAATTTTGGTTTCCACAAAAATATGAAGCAGCACAACTGATAATAATGAGAAATGTTTCTTGAGCAGCAAATCAGCATATTAGACTGATTTCTGAAGGATCATGTGACTCTGAAGACTGGAGTAATGATGCTGAAAATTCAGAGTTGCATCACAGGAATAAATTACATTTTGATATATATTCACATAGAAAATAGCTAGGCTATTTTAAATTGTAATAATATTTCACAATATTTCTGTTTTTACTATACATTTCCTCAAAAAAAAGTACAGCCTGGAGCCAAAGAGTAGAATTAGACTGATATAGATTTTTTATGACCAATACAGATACAGATTATTTGCAATTTTTTGAAAAAAAAAACCTTAATTATCAAGAAAAATATCAGTAAAACCATTTATCGGTGGATCTGATATTATAAAACTGATATCCAATTATGAAAAAAAGCTTAAATATTGGGAACAATATCAGTATAACCATTTATCGGTGGATCTGTTATTACAAAATTAATATCTGATGATGGAAAAATGCTTAAATATCAGTAAAACTCAAAATAAGAGACATTTTGAAATCAATATCGGATAACCAATATCTGATTATTGGAAAATGCTTAAATATAGGTAAAAATGCCAGTAAAACCGATTATTGGACGATCTCAAAATAACAGACATTTTGAAAACATAAAAAATTCGTACCAACCCCAAATATATGAATGATAGAACACAATTTACTGGAAAATAACTTTTATAAGATTATAAATGTTTTTCTGTCAGTTTTGATCAATTTAATGCATCCTTTAAGAACAAGAGTATTAATATCGTTAAAAAAAAAACTGAAAAGAAGCGTATGTAAACACTGATTATAATAGGTGCATTTTCAAGAGTTTTTAAAGTGCCCCTATTATGGATTTTTGAAAATTACCTTTCATGCAGTGTGTAACACAGCTCTAAGTTAAAACATAGGATCTGCGTTCCTGCGTCCTCGTGGTGCGTGACCGTTACCTTCAGCGGCTCCAGGGCGGCCGGAAGAGACGCTTCGTCGATGTCAGGATCAGGGGTCACAGGGGTCACGACCCCAGCCGGCCTTTGCACGGGGAAAACATCCCGCAGCGGGTTGGCGTCGCTGCAGTTGTACGTAGCGCAGATCTGGTAGCTGGCGGCGTGATACATGAGGAGCGTGTTGGTGTGATCGTCCAGACACCAGACGGCCTCGTCGCTCCAGCAGCTGGCAGACGAGACCATGCAGCGTACGCAGGACGGCGGCAGATACGGCTCGAGGCGGCGGATGGGCTGGAGCGTCAGGCTGTCGATGACCAGCACGCCGGGGCCGTTGCTGTACCACACCTCTGACCCGGTGCACACCGGCACGATGCTGCGCACGGCATACGGACGCTGCCGAGGGTCCGAGTCCTCCATGTTCAGCAGATGCTTGTTGATCGTGTGCGAGCAGATGTAAGTCTCCCCCTCCAGGGGCATGTCGTCCACCAGAGAGTAAACCACCACGAGACCATCAGACATGCCAGCAAACACCTGCGGGAGAGACTGAAACACAAGGGACGTAACGTAAATAAATGTTTGATATTACTGTTTATTATATTATGTTACAATTTTTTCTTTAATACAATAATGCTTACTTAAAGGGTTAGTTCACCCAAAAATGAAAATTCTCTCATTAATTACTCACCCTCGTGTTGTTCGAAACCCGTAAGACCTTCGTTCACTTCAGAACACAATTTAAGATATTTTTGATGAAATCTGACGGCACAAAGAAAACAAAAATAAAGACTTTATTCCACATTTTCTTCTCTACTGCGTCACTTGTGGACGCGCGTTCACAACAGTATCATGATGCGAGCGTGTGGTGATGACGTTATCACGCTGGATCTGGGTCAGCGCCGCCACACGCTCACGTCATGATATTGTCGTGAACGCACGTCCACAAGTGACGCAGTAGAGAAGAAAATGTGGAATAAAGTCTTTATTTTTGTTTTCTTTGCACAAAAAAAGTATTCTCGTAGCTTTGTAACTTTATAGTTGAACCACTGATGTCACACGGACTACTTTGTCGATCATCTTGGTTCTTTTCTGGACCTTGAACGTGGTAGTTACCTTGCTGTCTATGGGAGGGTCAGAGAGCCCTCAGATTTCATCAAAAATATCTTAAATTGTGTTCCGAAGATGAACGAAGGTCTTACGGGTTTCGAACAACACGAGGGTGAGTAATTAATGACAGAATTTTCATTTTTGGGTGAACTAACCCTTTAAGTATAATAATATAATTATTTATTAATATGTTAACACAATTTTATAAATATTTGTATATAGTTATATAATATTTAATAATTATTCACATGAATAAAATTATTTTTTTTTATAAATATATACAGTACTGTGCATAAGTCTTAGGCCAGTAGTATTTTCACCAGCTAAAAATGGTTTTAAGTCTATACATTTCTATCTTTTGCTGTAGTGTGTAGGAAAATTTCAGTTAACATTCATTTTGCCATTAATTGTAATAATCCAGTGAGATTTTTGTCTGACAACAGCCAGACTTTCACACAGTGCTGTATATTATAACATAAAACATTATATGTGTGTATTATGTAATATATTATACTATGAAATTTTACTTACTACAATACTGACTTGCATTAATATAGTTATTTATCAATATAATATTTTTACATATATTAATATAATATATTAATGCATGCTTAATACAATGATATAGTCATATATACTGATATAATGATATACAATTATTAATAAATATAATACTTTGTTAATATTATATTTATAAATAATAGTTTGTAATACTAATGTTTACGTGATAGAATATTTACTTCAATATTGTTTATTTGTACATAAAGTTCATAAATCTATATTTATATCAATATATGATTATAATATAATACAATAATACATGTTTAAATAATGCTATATTACTTTACTCACATTAATGTAATTAAGTGTAACTAACATCATACATTACTACTATATTATGCATTTTTATGTAATACAATATCTACTTACATTCATATAATTGTTTATTAATATAATACTTTAATGTTTACTTAATATAATACTGAATTTAATGTTATTTGTAAATATAGTTTGTAAATCTATATATTAAGATAAGATTATAATACATTAATACTTCATAATATATAATAATAAATTTTTAAGTAATACTATATTAATTTTTACTTAATACAATAAGTTACTTCCATTTATGTAATTATTTATTAATAAAATACCTTTTTACAAATATAATGTAATGTAATGTAATATAATATAATATAAATGTTTAAAACGTGTAAATTTGTATGATCTCCACAATTAGTGGCACCAAAAACAAAAATGGTAAAATAATGACCATTTTCAACTAGACTTCCAAAACACTCCCATCAACCAAAAACTCGTACTTTTCCACCATGTCGAGATCACAAGAAATAAGTTGTCAAAAATAATAATGCATATATTTGGAAACTCAGTTTGGTGCCACTATGAACGAAATGCTGCATATTTCAACACGAGATTTCGGAGTTCCATACTAATGTACATGTAGATGAACTCTAGTTGAAAGGGTTGATTCAAGTCAATATATATATATATATATATATATATATATATATAT